GGTGCACACTGATCTGGGAAACTTTGAACAGCACTGAGCATCAGCCTTCCGCTGTGCCCAGAGTCTGCTTCTCACATTCACAAGGAAGGATCTAGGACCAGGGACAGCCAAAATTTAGGGAAACAGAATTTCCTGCTAACTTGCAACATGCATAGGTTTCAACTTGTGAATGGGAAAGACAACCATCATTCCCCCAGCTCAAAACTTTTGAGCAGCTTGCCCCCTCCCTTCCTCCCCTTTAAACACTCATGAGCCAAGCACTGTAATGGGCACAGGGAGTGCAGAAACAAAGCAGCATCAATAATGGGGTCAACCTTCCCTGGAGGACTCTAGACTGTGACCAAGGTTAAGAAGAAATCAGTAGGTAAGGTCAAGAAGAGATGGGGGGAGGGAAGAGAAGGCACGACATCCCTCTCTGGGGTGGAAAGGACACCTTCAAAACTCAAACACACTTACGGGATTGGGACTTAAGTTGAGACTGTAAAATCTGTTGGCGTACATTTTAGGACTATATGAAAGCTACCAGTTCATCCCAGAGCTTTTCTCCCTAAGGCCCAGCTGGACTATGAGGTTTTTGTTGTTGTTTTGTTTTGTTTTGTTTTTAGTTTTATTTAGGTCCTGTGGTAGATTTTAGTGAACCGGAGTCACACTTTTCAGGATGAGCTTAGACACAAAAAATGGGTAACACCGTAAAATAGAAGAATATGCTTTGGGGACTTTTCAGTATTGTCTTATAACCTGATATATTCTTCAATAAGAACTTGTGTTATGTGACATTATGATCCACTGTGGGATAGTTTATGTCTAGGTAAGTTCTATTGTATTTACACTAGAGACGTGGTAGGCTCTTTTGTCCCCCAAATGGGGATTTAGATAAATTAGAAGGCTTTCAAGGGCAGCAAGCCAAAGAAATTAGGAGCTGGGAGAATTTATTTATGAGCCAAGATTAGGAACGGTTAAAGCATTTTGCTGGCTAACTGACAGGTAAAGGGGCTGTCAATCAGGAGTAAAGACAGCAGAAATGATGGTTTCAAGTCCCATTTGGGCTCCTATTTGCCCTATATGCAACCATTGTCCTGTCTTTCTCCCTTGGACACTGCCATTTTATATGGTCCTGGATGGCCTTGATTCTGTCCTTCCCCACAGCCTGCTGAATTTCTTCTCCCAGGTCCCCTCCTCAGAGTCTCCCTTCTCCCCATTTGCTGTCCCCAGGAACATGAGTTCTGAAGCACGTGGAAACATGTCTACTCCAAGCCCAGTACACGTCTGTGCTGGAAACATGTCTACTCTCCTTCTGCCACGTATTCTCACTACTGTTCTCTGCTCGGTCTCCTCTGCTCTGTCATGAGGTCAGCAATACTGAAGAGCTGGAGAGACGATTGAAAGGTGTATACTCCAAGTTAGTTATTTCTGAGCACAGGCAGGCATGCATTGTGTGTTAGATACCATCATGATGGTTGACAGCTCCCATATGTAGGTCCTACTCTTAAATCCAAACGTGACCAGATCCCTGATTTGAATCTTCCTCTCTGAATTCCCAGCAGCCTTTTCTGTAACTCTTACAGGCAATTGTGTAAAGTTCCCCCACAATTAGTATTTTCCATAGTCTACTGATGTTAGAAGTGGACCTGCCATCTGTTACTCCAGGATGTTGTATTACAATGATCTGTTTCTCCCTCTAGACCAGCAGTTCTCAACCTGTGAGTGTGACCCCTTTGGAAACCCTCCTCTCCAAAAATATTTACATTATGATTCATAACAGTAGCAAAATTACAGTTATGAAGTAGCAATGAAAATAATTGTATGGTTGGAGGTCACACACCGTGAGGAACTGTATTAAGGGGTCGTTAGGCAGGCTGAGAAGCACTGCTAAGGGCTATGCACACCCTGAAGGAAGAGGAAAGAACTCATGGTTACTTGCATGGCCCTTCCAGCTTCCTCCAATCCATGTAAAGGCTGTGTGTGATGGCATCGTTTTTATAACATTTTTATCAGTAAATAATTCAAATGCAGCGCAACTCAGCCATTTAACAGTGCGGTTCCATAGTTTCTGGAATACTGACAGAATGGTAGAGACATCACCAGTCTGTTTTAGAGCATTCCTACGGCCCTCTGTCCCTCTGCCTGCCAAACTCTATCTTCGGCCCATCCTCCTCTCACGCATCTTCAGCCCTAGTCAACCTCCACGCCCCTTTCTGTCCCTGTGGACTTTTCTCTCTGGAACATATTCCACAGATTGTGCAATGTGTGCTCTTCCATGACTGGCTCCTTTCATCTGGTGTCAAGATTTTTAGAGTCCATCTATGTTGTGGCAAGGGTCCCTATGTCATCCCTTTCTAAGGCCAAATCCTGGGCCATTGTTTATCTAATCATCAACCACTGGGCACTTGGAAAATTTCTACTGTTGGCTACGGTAACAAATACTGGCTTGAATCTTTGTGTCCTGGGCTTGGGGTAGCCATGTTTCCACGGACCATGTGTGTATACTAAAGAGTAGGCTCACTGTGTCACGCTCACTATGTTAACTTCCTGAGAACCCCCAAGGTGTCTGCAGCATTATATATTCTCACCATCTGTAGCCTAGGTTGGACACCTTGATGATAATTTTTAACAGGTTCATGGCAAAAATGCCCTGAGAAAATACAGAAAAATGGTTATTTACAAAGCATTTGCATTGTATGAGATAATGTGAAGAGTCTTGGTGCATACAGAGCAGGGTGTGCCCATAGCTTGTGCCATTACCATGCAATTGCAGATAAAGGAATTGAGCATGCACCATTTTTAATCCACTAGGAGTGATGGCACCAGCTCCCCGCGTCCTGAGGACCACTGTGTCTGATTTCTGTGCATCTCATGTGTGGTGGGTTTCTCTATATCTGTAGACTTAGAAACATTTTTTTCTAACACTTTAACTATTTCCTACTAGAAAAAATTCCCCCTGTCCTTGAGGGACACTTTATTGTATTGGAGAGTCACTTGAAAAAGGAAGAAGGTGACAAGATTAATCTCTGTTCAAATAAAAATACAAAACCTGAATTTTTTCCCAAGTCTTGCCTTTGTTTCTTAGTAAATGCAAATATGTGTTTTCTGCATGAATAAGGACACTGTTATTTAAAGGTGGTAACAAAGGGTAGAATCTTATATAAAAAAGTAAGGCGGTTAAAAGTAGAATGAAGTGGAACCTCGCCAAGCGACTGAAGGAGAACAAAAATATTCCATAAAGTGAGCATGAGGGAGAACCGAGCTGACAGTCCCGGCTGTGAGAGCCCTGGCTGCACCTGGGCTGCGGTGTGGGAATAAAGGGGCAGGAGTGAGGTTGGGGAGTCACTGTCCCTCTTGGATCTCAGGAAGTGAGCTGCAGCGTGTGTTAGACACACGGAGCAATTCCTAACTATAAACCAACGGCTCCTGGCAGGCTAGAGAGCGGTTCCCAGAAGGCAACTGTGCTAAGCACTTTATACGCCGTGCCCTAGCCGGATCCCCCTCCCTAGCTGAGGGCATGGATGCAGGCATTGCCCTCACTTCTCCCATAAACAATAAGGATACAGAAGAAACTGCTCCAGAGACCCAGCTAGGCTCAGAATCTGAGTGCTGTACTATAGAGCCACGGAACCCCCAGAGTCCCTGCTCTAAACTATGGGGCCACCATCCTTCTATGATTATGTTTGTTTTCCACACCTACATTGTTTGAGTACAGCAATTAAAAACACATTAACCACCTTGTGATTTTCGTTTAAATTAAATCTATTTAAATAATGAGTCAAAGGCATTTGTTTTTGTAATAGTTTTTAAATTACTTGTAATATAGCCTAAGAGGCTGCCAGGTCTATCGAGGTTTGGAGCAGGATGCAGGGACTCAGGGACCAAGTTTATGAAGATTAAACTTCATTCCAGAGGCAGCAAGAACATTAGCTTTCTGAAATTTTCGGCTGGCAGAGAATAACAGGTGCTTAAGGAGTGTGGTGTGTTGCCTGCTGTAAACATTGTGTAGTGATCAAAACGGGGTAGTTACCATATCCATTGCCTCAAATAGTTAGCATCTCTCTGTGGTGAGAACGTTCCAAACCTTCTCCTCTAGCTATCACAAGGCACACAGCACAGTTGTTTGTGATGTCCGCTCTACTGGGCAGTGGAAACCAGGATGTATCCCCCTTGGTCGCTCTACTGTGTTACCGAAACCAGAGGGTGTTCCCCTTGTCTAACAGCAGCTTTGTTGCCCCACCCCACCTTTTTTAACCTTTTGAGCCAAGTGTCTCATCTGTGGTTGGAAGCGTCCCTCCATGGAGGGTCTGTGGGTGGGTATTTAGCACAGAACTAGAGAAAGACCAACTAGGAACCTACTAAAATTGTGACCGTTGAAAACAAAAGGGTTCCGAGCTAAAGCCGGAGCAGGCAGCTACCACAGGTGTCAATCAAAGAAAGACGAAAGGGTCCCCAGCAGTTTGAGGGTGCAGGGGCTTTAGCCTTGAAAGTTTTCCAGGGTTCTTTGAGTGAATCACAGGACTGCCAGCGATGTAGTGGCTCATAGGGCTGCTGGGGATATGATTCCCTATGACAGATCCCAAGGAAATGGGATTTTACAATACCAGGTGTAGTTTTTGTTTTTGTTAATTGCTTATACATTTTCTACTTTTCCCCACCTGAGGGTTTCTGCTTGGTTGTTTTCTGAGAAAGGATCTCGCTCTGTAGCCCGGGCTAAACACCCACTCACCGCCACCCTTTTGCTTCAGCCACTGAGGAATTAGGATTGCGGGCATGAGTCGGCAAGCCCACCCATTTCAGTTTTCCTTCACAGTCCTGTTTTCTTTTCCAGAAACAGTTCCAGGTATTTTAAGACTTTGTCTTTTAGTTTCTGGGAAATCTATTCAAACCCTTCAGGTAGTTTAAAAGGCAGCATCTTTGGCATTTCCTTGGTATCAGATTAGCCCAGAGGCTTGCAGATGTGCTGTTTTCTCCGAGCTATGGATGACTAACTGACCAGAACCCTCTTGTGATTGCAGGCTGCCTTAGCTGGGGGTACCACCATGATCATCGACTTCGCCATCCCTCAGAAAGGCAGCTCCCTCCTCGAAGCCTTTGAGACCTGGCGCAGCTGGGCAGACCCCAATGTCTGCTGTGACTATAGCCTACATGTGGCGGTGACGTGGTGGAATGACAAGGTGAGGCAGCTGGCTTCCAATGTGTTCTGTTTGGTCCCCTTGTCCTTGGCTCTGCATGGGAGCAAGGAACTGGCAATGTCCAATGGCAAACCCCGGTTATGTCCCTGCCTCGGGGGTGACTGGGGGACTGGTGGGGTGGGTTCTCGTTGCACTTTTCTTCTGAATCTGTTGGATTCTGAGTACTGTGAAAGATTGCAGTCTCAACATTAGACTGTAAAAACATCATCACGGAAAGCACACAGTGAGACTCCATCCTGCTTGCTCACAGAATCATCCTGTGTTTAATACAGGAATTGCGCAGGTTTCCTCTACTCTCCACGGTACCTATTCCTCTTAGTGTCAACGTCAACATGCCTAGAATCTTAAAAAATGTATTAGAAAATTTTAACGTAGGAGAAAACATCAAAGAAGTTCTAAGTTTAGAATTCCTTCAAATTAGAGGCCTCCATTCCTACCCCTGACAGGAGAAGTCAGGATGGGATCCTTTCCAAGGCCCCTCCCAGCTGAATCCAGGGGTGACTTAGCTCTCCCAACACTACTTGGTTGTTGTCACTGTCATGAGTCCCCCAGAGACCACCAGGAGTCCCAGTTCATATGCCAAAGCAAAGAGCCTTTATCACAAGCTTAAGCCTGGGCTCTCACCCATCCGTTCTGTCACAGTGGCTGGATCAGGGAGAGCATTGAGCTCAGCTGTGGCAGGGTTTTGAAGGAGCAAAGGATGGCGGGTAAGAGAATTCTGGATTCAGATGGGGGTTGTACTCCTGATTGGGCAGGAGTGAGGTAACAGAAATCTTATCAAACAGGGATTGGTACTGGCGTTGCTGTAAGGAAATTGGCAACCTATATACAAGTTAGGGAAGCTAGTCTCAGTGTTCTGAAGCAGCTAGTACTTGTTTGTCTCAATTCTGATTGGTTCCCCACAGGGTACAATCTGTGACTTTTCCTGGTTATTGAGATGGTGATGTCTAGTCTCAGTATTGTTAGTTGGCAGCCTGTCATGGCTGCAGTGATGTTGAGTTGGGTCTTTTCTGTCACCTGAGAACCATTTACAACAGACCTCAAAACACTCTCCCGTGCCCAATAATTAGTTAGGCCATGAAAATGATAAGAGTCAGATGAAGAAGATGACTTTGAGAGCCATTAAAATACGTTGGTTTTCTACTGAAAATTTGTGTGTGTGCCCTGAAAGAAATTTTCCTTGAGATTTAAACCCTAATTTGTTTCTTCATATTGGATTTCATTCAGAAATTTTAAGGAGGTGGAGTGTGAATCATGGTGACGCTGTTTGAGTAGTTCATTCATCAACCTTTTCAAAGCTTGTTTCAGATACCGAGTGACTAGAAAACAAGTAACAAGTCTGTAGCAAGTAACCCAGCAATAAAAAAAGTAACAAGTCTGTAACAAGTAACCCAGCAATAAAAAATGTAACAAGTTTGTAACAAGTAACCCAGCAATAAAAAAAGTAACAAGTTTGTACCAAGTAACCCAGCAATAAAAAAAAGTAACAAGTCTGTAACAAGTAACCCAGCAATAAAAAAAAGTAACAAGTCTGTAACAAGTAACCCAGCAAACATCAGGGCCATAGTCCACAGCTCAAGCTGATTTCTCTCCACAAACAGGATTCTAAGCCCTGAGCTGGACCTACTTTATACCTTCAAAGGCAAACCCTTCCTTCCTCTCCTTCCTTTCTTCCCTCCCTCCCTTTTCTTTCTTTTCTTCTTTCCCCTCTCCTTCCCTCCCTCTCTTATTTTGTGAGAAGTACAGGCAATGATGGTGGCTTTGACTAGTCCTTTTCATACTTTAACAAGTGCAGAGATCCCCCAAATACAGGTTCTGTTGTGTTCCTATGGCCAAGAGCTCAGTATAGCCTCAAACAGCAGAAGTGTATTCTCTCCCAGTCTTGAAGGTTAGAAGGCCAAGATGTCTTGTGATTGGTTTGTCCTGAGGGCAAACGGCTCTGTCCCATGTCCTTCTAGAAGCTTCTAACTATCTGTGGTAATCTTGCGTGGCCCTTGCCTTAAAGAAGAAGCATTCTGACTTCTGCTTCCATCTCCTTGTACAGGCCTGTATTTCAGCTCATCTTTTTCAAGGCCTCCAGTCATGGGAGATTAGAATGAACATCATTGACATCACAGTAGCTAACCACACTGTGGTGAGCCTACTTCTAAAGGGTTAGGACTTTAGGATAAGGGTTAGGGGACACACAAGACAATTTACTAAAACTTTTTTTTTCCTTTTATGAGGATTCTTTGTAGTCTTTCTCCCCATTTTATTGAAAATAGTTTTTGCCCTCACAGAATATATTCTGTTCACCTGTTTCCCATCCCTCTACTCCTCCCAGTTCCTTCCCAACTCCACTCCCACTCCCATCTTATCTTTCAGATCTTTATTTCTCATTAGAAAAAAAGAGCAGGCTTCTACGAGATAATAATAAAATACAAGGAAATAAAACATGATAAAATAAAAAAATAAAAATTATCCCACTGAAGTTGGAGAAGACAAAGCAAAAGAAGGAAAATCCCAAGAGAAGGCACATGAGACCCTCTCATTTGCACTCTCAGGAATCCCATAAAAATACTAAACTGGTGTTGTAGGAGGCTTGTTTGTTCTCAGCTGCTCAGCCCTGAAATCACACAGAAACTATATTATTTGCAATACTGTTTGGCCAATAGCTTAAGCATATGTCTGGCTAACTCTATGTCCTAAACTAACCCATCTCCATTTCTGTGTATTGCCACGTGGCTGTTGCTTACCAGCAAAGTTTCAGTATGTCTGTCTCTGGCGGGGGGGAGGGGGGCGCTCCATGGCTTCTCCTGACTCCACCTTCTTTCTCCCAGCATTCATTTTAGTTTTCCCTGCCTACCTCTATTCTGCCCTGCACAAGCCCAAGACAAATCCTTTATTAACCAATGGTATCCACAGCATACAGAGGGGGAATCCCACATCGATCTGGATGCCATACTATATACACAGAGGACCTGGTGCAGACCCATGCAGGCCTGTGCATGCTGCCTCAGTCTCTATGAGTTCACATGGGCTTTGCTTTCCCCTCCCCCTCTGGCTCTTACATTCTTTACATCTCTTCTTCTGGGTTCTCTAATCTCTGAGGAGAGGGATCTGATGGAGATAGCCCATTTAGGGCTGACTTTTCCAAGGTCTCTCACTCTGTCTGTGTCTGGCTCTATGTCTCTGTATTTGTTCCACTTGCTGCAGCTTCTCTGGTGATGGCAGAACTCTCTTATCTGTCTGAGTCATGGAAGTCCATTTGTAGTAGTGGGCAAGAGTACCTGCATGTTTAACACGGAGAGGGGCTCACTATGTGGTCACATGTTGGCCTCGTCCACCTGCCTGCACCTCTGAGAAGTGAAATTGCAATGTGCCGACTTGCCCAGCTTGGTGCTTTTTTATTGTTTGTTTTTTGTTTCTTTGAGACAGGGTCTCTCTTCATAGATCTGACTGTCCTAGAACTCACATAGACAAGGCTGGCCTGGAGATCATATAGATCTGCCTCCCAAGTGCTAGGATTAAAGGTGTGCACCACCACACCCTACAGCTTTGTCTGAAAGCTAACCTCTGTGTCTAGGTACTTACTTCATGAATTGTTGATGACATTTTCCACCTCAGTTAATAAGATTTCTCTTTCAGGGTGGGGAGTGCTCTCTTTTTCTGTTATGTTATGAGTGTATATATAGTTGTATGAATTGTTTAAAGAGCGATTTTCAAATATTCAATATTGTCCCAAAGAGAGGCTCTTGCTAGACTCTTAACTTTTGGCAAAGCTGCCCATTTTTTTAAAAAAAAAACTAGATGGCAGGAACCAGGCACTCCTCTGTACATCCGTTGCTTCACCCATTAGGCACCTCATGCTCTAAGAACTAGACGGATGTGTGGAGGAGGTCGATCTCACTGAGCATCAGGGTGTGGATGCAGGAGCGGATGGACATGTGTGTCTGTCAGCTCTGTTGCCATAACAGTGTCCCACGGGTTGGCTGGTTTAATAACAGAATTTACTTCTCGAAGCCAGAAGGCAGGAAGTCCTGTATCAATGCACTTGAAGAGCTAGCTCCCCATGAGGCTTCTCTTTCTGGCTGTGGACAGCTACCTTGTCACATAATCCTCTCTGAGCCTCACCTCTGTGCCAAGGTTTGGTGACCGCCCCCTCCATCAAGTGGGAAGAGATTTTATTAGCTATGAGCAACCCTCCTGCTCTGGTTGCTGTACTTTTGGTTTTGTGTGTGTGCGCGCACGCATGTGTGCTTATGTGTGTATGTGCACATGTGTTTGAACAAGTGTGTATGTGTGTACATGTGTATGTATGTGTGCATGTATGTGTTAACCTGTAGAAGATCAAACAACTTTCCTTTGAAAGTTGTAGGCAGACTTTTTTGTCCCTCCAGCCAGTTCTCACATAACCACAGAGACTTAATATTAATTATAAATGCTTGGCTGTTAGCTCAGGCTTGTTACTAGCTAACTCTTACATTTTAAATTAACCCATATTTCTTATCTACCCTCTACCACGTGGTGGTACTTTCTTTCAATGAGGCATGTTCATCTTGCTTCTCTCTGTGTCTGCTCAAGACTCCCGAGACTCTGTCCTCCTTCTTCCCAGCATCCTCTGTGTCTTGTTGTCCCATTGATACCGCTTGACTAGCTACCAGCCAGTCAGCTCTTTTATTAAACCAACAAGAAGTTGCCTTGGCAAAGATACATCTTCACAGTGTACAAAAAGATTATTCCATAACAGAAAGCCTTAATCCATTTTGAGACTTGAATTTGAGACCTCAAACTCGCTTACTGGGTGGTTTTGCTCTCAAGTTTGCCTCTGATAGCTGACAACCCCGAAGATCCCCCAAGCTATGACTGTCCAGAATCTTGTCAGTAATGATCCCTCACCTCCCACGTGTGTTGTCGGGGTGCTGCAGCACAACGCTCAGCTTGTGCTTCCTCACGTGAACCTGGGTCAGTTCACTGCCCTCCTCCGACAACTCAACCTACTTCTCTTCAATTTGAGCCCCAGCTTTTACCACTGTTACAGAAAAAGAAGGAGAAACCACACGGCAGCAAGGGTAGCAACCGTGGATCTAGACGGCATCAAAGCTCGCTGTAACAGTCTCCTCAAATTGGAGAAGAGATGCCGAGAATTTTAGAGTCAAGCACAATAATGAAGCACTTTAGGGAAGACTGTTAATTTCCCGATTTAAGAGCATCCCAGTGCAACTTATCAGGTGAAATGGGTGTGGCCGGGGAGAAAGTCTGTGGATTTCATTGTGCTTTTTCTGAAGGAAGCTGTCACCCTTATGTTGCTTATTTCTTTTCTGGATATAATCTTTGTGGGGATGCTGAAATTATCCTTTAAAATTAACGAAGGGTGTGCTGTTTCGTCACAAATTCTAATTTGTCTTAATAATGAAAACCCTGAGTCAGATATAGGGGTGAATCCTGAAAGATCAGAGAGGCTGAGCAGCCACCACTAGTTCTTACCTCTACTGAATCCTCAGACCAAAGGGGCGATCCTGTTCCTGTGAGTCCTCAGACTGAATGCTCTTCTATGAAACCTCAGACTGGATCTGAGCTCCTGTCTCTTCCTGTCTTATATTCACCTCTCTACTCAGCCATATCACTCCTGTCTCCACCTCCCTACTGCTGGGATTAAAGGCATGGGATCCCAAGTGCTGGATCACCTTTGTGTGAGTTCTGTTTCTCTTTTAGACAGATTCAATCCCACACAGCCCAGGGTGGCCTTGAACTCAGAGTTCCACCTGCCTCTGCTTCCCTAGTGCTGGGATTAAAGGTGTGTGGCACCACTGCCTGGCCTCTTAGGCTAACTCGTAACTTAGCTCTGTGCTCTGATCTTCAAGCAAGCTTTATTTGTGGATCACAAATATCACTACAGATTGCTGTATCTGTTGCCCGCCTAGGTAAAAGAAGAAATGAAAACCCTTGCCCAAGATAAAGGAGTTAACTCCTTCAAGATGTTTATGGCCTACAAAGGCCTGTACATGGTGCAAGACGAGCAGATGTATGCAGCCTTTTGCCATTGCAAGGAGATTGGAGCGATTGCTCAGGTGCACGCCGAGAATGGAGACTTGATCGCAGAGGTGAGCGTTCCCTTCCAAACTTCTGTAGTCAGGAACTTTAAAAAAGTAAACAAAGAAAAGCTGTAACTTAAAGCAAGGACATTCAGCCCTGAGAAGGTAGACTCGGCACATGGAAGGACAGAAATTAAGTCGCTCGTTATCTGTGTTACATGTTACATACCTGACTTGGTTTTCTTGGTCACTGCCTTTGATTTTATTCAGTGGGTCTACATGATCGGGTGAAGAATTCTCCCTTTTCAACCAGTTACCTGTATTCAACTTTAGAGACATGCTGGTATAAAAGTGTGAGTCATTTTCTTCTAGATTTACTTATTTATTACTATGTGTGCATGTGTTTCTGCATGAGTTCATGTGTGCCCTGTGTATGCAGATTCCTCGAGAGGTCAGAAGTTGGGTCGCCTGGAACTGGAGTTACTGTAGCTGTGAGCTGCTGGGATGTGGATGCTGGGAACTGAACTCGAGTCCTCAGGAAGCACGGCCAGTGCTCCTCACTGCTGAGCCGCCTCTCCAGACCTGTAAAGCATTTCCTTGATGTCCCTTGGCTCTGGTTTGTTGTCGGGGTTTTCAGAGGCTTGGGCGGCTGGTACCGAATGCTACCGTGTGGGCGTCAGTGAGGTCTGGTGAAGTGAGCAGGTGTTTTAAAGCCTTACACTTTGCAGAGACGGGATATTAAAGCGTGCTCTGGAGGATTCTGGGAGATATTTACTTCTCCTGTTAACTCCATTACGAATGCCCGAAGGGTAGGCCACCTGCAAGATTTAAGAAGCTGTCCCTAACCCTTTATATCAGCTGATTTTTTTTTTCTTTCCCCAAGCTTAGCTCCCATTAAAGTAAGATTGCAGCTCGGTGGCCAGGAGGCAGCGGGAAGAGAAGGGAATGTGAGGTATAGATGCAAACAGGACAGGGTTTAAATTCGATGATGTGACTTCCTCACTGTTTGACATGGCCAGGTGACTTCATTCTTCTGAAACTTGACTTGAGATTCTTTTTGTGAAACAAAGAAATAAAATTTTGAAGAAATAATGGATCTAATATTATTAACAGGTTGAGTTGGGAGCAGAGTAGACTACGATTAGTAGAAAACTAAAACTAATTAAACAATATTTTACAATGAATCACTTGAGCAAGGGTATTGAGTGGTTTTATTTTGTTTGACTGAATTATTATATTAAGTCTCAACCATGGATGGGGCTGGACAGTACTTCTTACAGAATGTGAGAACAAACTTCATCTTTTTCAAGGGTGGGATAGACAGAGAGACAGACAGACTGTAGAGTTCAAAGGACAATCTCGAATGTTGTTCTTCAGGGGCCAGTCCACTTTATCTTAGAGACAGGGGCCCTCACTGACTGGAAACTCAGCAAGGAGGCCTGGCTAACTGGCAGTGGGACCCGTGGCTCCATCTGTCTCTGCCTCCCAGCTTTACAGTGGCAGCTACCACCGTGTCTGGCCTTTCCACGTGGTTCTGTGGACTGAACTCAGGTTCTCGTGGCTGTGCAGCGAGCACTTCACCAACTGGGCAGTCTTCTAAGCTGCTCCCTTCCCCCACCTTTTCAAATGAAAGAACGCTAATGGTAAAATGATGCATAGGGATACTATTAATATATACAATCAGCATATGTACACTCTGCCCCCTACACACCTACAGCTGATAGCTCTAAAAGTCTATCAGAACTTTTAATTCCTAATATAATAATAATAATAGTTTGTCATTAGGAATCCTTCCTGCTATCATTTCACATTTCTGTTGCCTTTTAGGGAGCAAAGAAGATGCTGGCCTTGGGAATCACAGGCCCGGAGGGTCATGAGCTATGCCGTCCTGAAGCGGTGGAAGCAGAGGCCACTTTGAGGGCCATCACCATAGCCAGTGCGGTGAACTGCCCTCTATACGTCGTGCACGTGATGAGCAAATCTGCGGCGAAGGTGGTAGCCGATGCGAGGCGAGAAGGTGATCTTCAGTGGGACCCCACCCCTCTGGCTAGCAAGCTGCAGGTCACACAGGCCATTAACAGCCCCTGCTTTTTAAAACATGACAGCGAATTTTAATTTACAACTAATTTCACAGCGACTTCCACATCTCCTGATCATCCAGCTCACCCTGCTAGCACCTGATGGGGCCAGGGTTCATGCTCAAAAGCTTGTTTTTGAATTGAATCGATCTGTCTGACAGCACCTTGGATATTGGGTCAGTTGGAGCAGTAACCCCGAAAGCATTTTAATCATTACTACTTTGAAGGTTATATTTTAACTTTAAATTGATTGTTGCCCCAATTCTCTAGTCCAGACTGAATATGGTCATACAAAAGAAAGAAAATCTGTCTTTGGGTCAAGAAAAAGAAGTCATCTGTTTGCTAGTAATGTACAAAGATGGGCGAGAGCCATATATGATCATTTTGTTCAGTGACCTTAGGCCTCCCTGGAGCCTGCATCTCACGGCAGAAACAGGTAATCCTGTAGCAGAAGTTATCCTGTTGATTTCCTTCCTGTAAGTGACAGCGAGTGGATCATGTACCACATTAAAAACCATGGAGTGGATCTGGTATGTTTGTAATAGGCACCAAAATAAGTCAAAACTACTTGCTGCAAAAAAGGGTTAGAAAGGATTTTGTGAGCTGTATTCACTTTTAAAACGCAATCCACCGTCTCATGTGTCAGGAGTGAGGCTAATTTCAAATGAGCTCACAAGGTCTTACTACCAACAGCCCCTGACTCCTTCCCTCCCACCACCCACGTGGGTCACGATTGCTGGTGAAATCCCTCCACCCCGCCCCTCACCAAAACAAAGCAGAAAGTAGCTAGGAAACCCAAGCTGCAGTTCCAGTTTTTGCCCACCAGATGGCGATGCTGCCAGCTCCGTGGAACTGCTTTCCTGCGCCACAACCAGGCACACAGCGTTAGGCTAGAGGGAACAGTAAAATCTGCAGAAATGCCCACCATCAAGATTATGACTTTGAAAGTTCAGGCTGGAAGTTGCTTTTTTGGCAATGTGTATTTGTTCTGTATGTGGACAAAATTCAGTTAGAAGCCAGTTATAAAGATCTAGGAACCAAAGACAACTATCAGTCTTGAGTAATGGGCGTTTTGATTTTATTTTAAATTAGTTTTAAAAAACAACTTTACTTCTTGAATGTAGGGACTGTCTATCATTTTACATTAGCCCAAGTTTCAAAATTATATACAAAAACATGTTCAAAGAAGTTTTACTTCCTCCCAGCTCCTCATCATATCCCAAAGGAATATTTTTTGTACATTTATTTCTGGTCCAAATGGACAGTTCTCTTTGAAAAGTAAAATTATCTGTATCTTCTTGTTTTTATTCTTCTTCCTTCATAAAAAGAAAAGAACACCAACAACAAAACAACAACAACAACAAAAACCCACATTAGTACTTTGCCCCTTGCTGGTTTTTCCATTAGAAATATGTCCTTGAGGTTAGCCCTCAGAGGAGGGGTTTCCATCACTCTCAACTGCAGGTCTGGGATATGCCGCTGCGTTTATTCAAATACTCCTCCTCCACTGGTGGTCTGTGGAAGCTCCGGCTCTTACAAACAAGCACCACAGTGGTCGCCTACTTCAGAGACTGTTTGGTGTTTGCAGAAGGCATGTGACTTCTCTGTTGCCTCTGTAGGAAATTGCTGCAAACTCTTTATCCAGCCGTTCTAGAGGACAGAGGTCCCTTGTGTCTGGAGAGCCCCGCCCCTTCCTTACCTTGCCCAGAAGTAGAACCTGCTCAGGTTCCTCAGCTCATGGCTCCCACCCTCAGGCCAGCCGTGCTGGACTGAGCCAGGCCTGTCCATGTCCTTCTTTTCTGGATGGCCTCTTGTCTTTCTCCTCCACTTTAAGGGTCTTTGTACAACATTGAGCCAACTCCATTCATTTAGAATGACCTCCCCATCTCAAAGTTCTTAATCACGTGTATAAGATCCCTTTTTACTTTGTTAGGTAACATATAAACAAACTATGGATTGAGCATCTTTATGCTCTGTTATGTGCCTAACATAAAAGAGTATCTTCTAGAAGTAGGATTGCTGGTTCAGAGAGTAAGTGGGCATGTAACTTTTTAGATACTGTTAGATTTGTTTCCAAAGGAGCTATAAGCAACTGTAAAACATACCCTAGTACCCAGCTGTCAATGAGACAGCAGAACTCTACCATGATTCAATGTGAGCCAGTCCACTCTGTGAGTGTAACCCTTTCTACAGAGGGGAGGGGAGGAAAGGGGAGGGTGTGTGATCGAGGAAGAACCAAAAGGAGAGAGACTAACAGGCTCAAACTTTTCCCCATGGTTACTGCTTCAGCTAATACGAGGACAGACCCTGAAAGTGCTAATGGCTAGGAGACCATGAACCACACTTGAAGTAATAAGAGTGGCGGGGCTGCGTTCCCAGCACCCCGGCCGCCTGCTCGCCTAGCTTATGCCCCGAAATAACAACACACAAACTGTATTCATTTAATCACTGCTTGGCCCTTTAGCCCTAGCCCTTACTGGCTAATTCTCACATCCCAATCAACCCATCTCTAATAATCTGTGAGAACCGGTCTTACCGGGAAGATTCTAGCCTAGTCCATCCTGGGTTGGAGCTTCATGCCGGGAGCGGGGCATGGCGTCTCTCTCAGGGGTCTGCTCCTGAGAGGAAAGCTGTCGAGACTCTGAGCTCTCTTCCTCTTCCTCCCAGCATTTTGTTCTGTTTTCTCCTCCCACCTATCCTCTAACCAATAAAATGGGCCAGGGCAGTGCCTTTATTAGCCAATGACCTTCCTCCATCACACACTGACCTTCTGTGAAGGATTTGGGTATCTTATTAGTTAGTAATTCATTCTCCTCTAAAAGTGTTTCTTGTAGAAATTCACTCTATCAGGAATCAGCTGGAGTACCTGGGAGGGGGCACTAAGACTAAAGAAATGTTAGATTCAGAGAAATGGAGACAGAAAGCACAGGATAAACCAGGAAGACAAAGGTTAATACTAAACAGCCCCGAGTTTATTTCTCAGCCAGCATATATACCAATTATAGGCAAAAGGCAGAAGAAAGAGCAGTACAGCCAGCTAACCACCTCCCTGCACTGTCCTTGGGAGGACGCTCCAGCAGGTGCATTCTCTCAATACAAGAATTCAGACAGCAGCAAGCAGCTACCAATCACTAAGGAGGGGTGCTTCCGGTTGGCATACACCAACCCAAATCTTAATAGATAATGTGTTCTTTCTCATGGGCAAAAATTGCTCTTTCCCACGGGCTTAATCAGAACTTTCTCACAGCCTTCAGGATATTTGGAGCAAGCAAAGCAGGCAAGCTTGAACTGAAATCACTTCTTTAAGTCAGTAATGGCTCCAGATGGAAACTGAGTCATACAGTGGCTACCACAGTTTCTGAATACCAGAGCACAATAGAGACCCTGTTCTTTGTAACCTTATTTAAATAAGAAATACTTTCTTTTTATTAATGTATTATATGAAAATATATACCTACATCTTTCTTCCTGAGCCCTGGTACTAACGTGAGTCTCAGAATATAGTCTGCGCTAACGGTTGCCTAGGAGCCAGACGCAGAGCCTGAGCGCCCATCCCAGACCCCAGGAATCTAATGTGCATGTCTAACTGAAACTTCAGGCAGTTCATACACCCATGAGAGTCAGGGTCCAGGCACAAAGGCAGTCCGATCATTGATTACCTCTGTTATCATTTAGGGACACAATGATGTTAAATTTGTTGACTTTATACCTCAAACGCATACGCAGAAGAGACAGGCTGTGGTCATAGCTGCTAACACTTCTCCCCTTCTGTCCTCTCCCGTGACCCCCACACTCCCAATTTACTCAGGAGATCCTGTCTTTTTCTCCTTCCTACTTAGATGCTTGTATGTCCCTCTTAGGTTAGGGTCCTCTTACTTGTCTAGGTTCTCTGGGGTTGTGGACTGTAGGCTGGTTTTAGTTTGCTTTATGTCGAAAAGCCACTTATGAATGAGTACATATTATATTTGTCTTTCTGGGTCTGGGTTACCTCACTCAATGTGGCTTTTTTCCCCCCTAGATCCATCCATTTGCCTGTAAATTTCAAGATGTCATTATTTTTTAGTAGTACTCCATTGTGTAAATGTACCGCTTTTTTTTTTTTATCTATTCTTCAGTTGAGGGGCATCTAGGTTGTTTCTAGGTTCTGGCTATGACAAACAGTGCTGCTATGAACATAGTTGAGCACATGTCTTTGTGAAAACCATGTTTTATAATTAATTGATTGGACATTTACAAAAATTAGCTGAATGGGGGATTTTTGTAATTATGTTTGAAAATTGTGTTAATGACATTATCATTACCTTAGCGTTTTGGCATTATTGGAAGGACATAAATACTGAGAATGGATTTGCTAAGGCATTCGCTGGCAAGTTAGCTAGCTTGAATTTCTCTCAGCCATGCTTTGGGGCTAGTGATTTGGGCCATTTCTACTTTTAGTTTTAAGCAGCCACCTTCAATTCTAGACGGTAAGGACGAAGTAGTGATTTGCAATTTGGAACATCAGTTGTCTTCCAACCATGAAAGATGACTAACTTAGCTCATGTGAGTTTTGTTAGCAATAATTATCCCTTCTAATGGCATAAATTTTTGTACCTGGCTAGTGCTTTTAGTGAAGCTCCAGAAATGTCCTTTCCAGCCCCTTCTCTTCTGCTAGGGCGAGGAAGGAACTCAGGGGCTGTCTTAACCACCTCTTTATTATTATCTTGGGCAGACAGTGTTCTTCACAGCATTCATTTCCTTCCCACAATCCTGTCCCTGCCCTGCTTTGACTGCAGGCCAAGCCCCTGCAGATACATTCAGATACAGTGTAGAGTGTGACTCTAGTCCTCCCTGGAGAAACAGTCAGCGTGAAGAGAAACTTACCCACTCGGGGAAACGGGAGCTGGAGCGACCCACATCTACTCAGGGAGAAACGATTTCGAGCAAGGTCAAGTGCGTTTCCTTCACGCCAGTGAGGCTCCAGAGCTCGCCTAATTTTAGTCGGCTGTGCATTTAGACTATTGTTGGCTTCTAAAAAGTTTCTGGTTTTCCTGGAATTTTTCCAGCTAGCTCTTTTCAGATAGGTTTAGAAAAGAAACACAGGCCTCTCCACCACGCCTGAGCAGTTCCAGCTTCTCCTCCCGCTTTCCATTAGACATCCACCACGCCTGAGCAGTTCCAGCTTCTCCTCCCGCTTTCCATTAGACATAGCAGCTCCTTCTTCAAGGAGGCATGTGGTGGTGGTGGGGGGGGGGGGGAGTAATCTTCCTTCCCTGCCTGCCTCCTTGCCTTCCTGCTTACTTTCCTCAGTCTCTTTCTCCTGCTTCCTCTCTCTGTCTTTTTGGCCGTCTTTTTGGCCCTGGTGCAGAGGGAATGTGGCCTTGTTGGCGGCAGTGTGGTCTTGTTGGATGAGGCTGGATGACACAGACCTTTGATGAAGACCTTGAGGCTAGAGGGCACACTTTTCATCTGGGCCACACCTTCTGCTGGAAGTGTATCACCGTGGATGCAGCTTTGAGGTCTTTTTCTCAAGCTCCACTCAGTGTGGGGGTCAGTCAACTTCCTGTTGCCTGAATCAAAATGTAGCATTCACAGCTCCAGCACCACATCCTGCCTGCCTGCTGTCCCCCACTCCCACCCCCGTGATGGACTGAACCTCTGAACTGTAAGCGAGCCACCCTCAATGAAATGCTTTCTCTGTTAGAGTTGTTGGAGTCATGGCGTCTCTTCACAGCAATAAAAACCCAAACTAAGGCAGTCACAAGCTACATCTTCTGGAAAACGACAGTGTAATTCCGTTCCAGCACTGATATCAATACAGTGCAATTATTTCCTTTTCCTCTCTAACCAGTTTTACTATCTGGAATATTCTCATTTTTTTTTTTTTGCCGTCATTGAGATACAGAAATTTCATTAAGCCCACATTAGGTCATAAGTGTTGAATAATTCCCCTTCGTATTTAGGGCGTATTTTTTAATCTAAAGGCTGATTTTTGATTCTGAAATTTTTCTTCTGTTATTTCTTCCATACTTATTTACTCTGTTTACTTATTTACTTTCCCCAGAATTAACCCCAGAAGCATCTTCTGAGAAGTAAAGGGCAGCCCAGTGGGAGATTGCAACGCTGTGACAGAGAGAGTCTTTTCAGTTGGGGTTTTGTGTCAAAGGACAGAAAAAGACTACAGAGAATATCTGTGGCCAGGGAAGGCACAACCTACCAGGAAAGTTGCTAGGGAGGAAACCGAGGAAGGAGGGATCTTTCAGTCCCGAGAGTCACTTGCAAACACAATCAGACACAGACGATAGAACCTCGCACTGTTCACAGCCACCTGCAAGGCAAAGGACACCAGGGAAGGGAAGCTGGACAATTGTTTGAGAACATCTACAGATAACTTGTACTGAAAATATTTAAAAAGACATGCTCCTTCGCCAGGGAATGGAAATGATGCTTTTCTTAGTAACAAGGTGTATATGGTCTCAGATCAGAGGAGGAGGGCTTTAATTCTGGTCACTCCACTGCCCATCTTTGGCAAGTCGATAGGTTTCAATGAGCATCAGCTTCTTCATTTATCAAACCAGCGTGAGGTGTCGCTGTGAGGCCAAGAGAGGGCACGTGAGGGGGTTTTGAAAGTTACACAGACCACACCTATGCTAGCGATTCCCCTAGTCTAGTTTTTAGCTCAAATCTACCAGAATGGGCGATTAGGTTAGATTTTTTTAATTTGATTCTCCAGTTTGGGGACTACCAACTCATTGGTTTCCTCTTCCTTTATACTTCTTCCATGAGTTTTGGTCTTTTCAAACTTGTAGAAGGAAGCGACAAGCCATTCGGAGTTTTTATTTTTAATTTCTCTCTGTTCATAAATATGTAATAAGGCTTAAGATGAAAATACACCCCTAATGAAGAGTTTGTGTACGCTAAAAAAGTAGCCTGTCACTCTTGAAAGGCGTTTAGCCCTTCTGAGGAAATTACCTGTCATCCGCTTGCAGAGCAGCCTGGCGGACACCCGACAGATACTGACATTTAATTTTTCCCGAGAGCTATTAAGATGGGAGACGTTAGGGAGCCGCACTCCCAAATCATCTCGATGTGCCGAGTGATTGAACAGAGCATGTGACAAGGACCTTTCCTTGATGATGAAGCATCACGGAAAATCCTGAGTTGGCACCTCATGAAGAGACTGCAAATCAAGCCAGAGTCTTGTCCAAGCCATGGGGAGAAGTGCTCTTGGAACCGTGAGCTCTTTTTGGAGCTACAGATAGAGAGTGCAACTGTCTTGGTCTCTCTCCGTGGAGACCGATACCTCCTAGCTCACTACCCATGACTGCCGTTTCTCCCACGTGCCACTGAGAGATGCTAAAGTTGCTTCTCTTGTCTGAAAGCCGGGCAGTGAGGACCTGGAGTGGTGTGGGGTTGTGTGTATCACGGAAGTCAAGTTTATCCACGGGGTTTGGCTTCACGGGGGACCATGGTGTGGAAGTTGGGCCTCAGCAAGCCTGGCTCTTCTGTGTCTCTGTTTACGAGGCTAACTGGAGGAAGGGAGTCGTTTGGAGGACGGATGGGTCTGTAAGATAACAGGGTGCCGCATTGCCATTTAGAAGACTCGGCAGCGGGTGGCCATCCACCGTGTGCTCCCTAAGGAAATCTGTTAATCTTAGTTGTATATCTGGATGGTAACTAAAATGTGGATTCTGATTAGCCAGAGTGGGCTCATTTGGCATGCTAGCATCTCCTCGCCACATACTTTTTTTTTGATTGCTTGCATGTGATGAGGTTGATGCCAGTGAGTCTATTATTCTGACAAATGCTAATCAGATAAGGAACCTGATTTTAAATTCAAATCCATTGTGCACTATTAAGTTTTCTAACATTGTGTGCTATGGATGGCCTCATTTGCATGATTTTTTAAGTGTGCTTTTCGGGCTACAATTCTGTTATCTGAGTGTTCTTTTATTGAATACGAGTCTTCTGAGAAAGTTCCTTTTGAGGGTATGGAGAGGTCACCAATTGGTCTGCAGCAGAGCAACACCATGGTTGGAATCCGTATGGCTATATTAATGGTAGCCTGCTGTCTGGCTACAAGGCATAGAAGTTGAGACCACTGATTCAAAATTCCTGGGTTCACATCCTACTTCCTCCACCCCACCTCTGTACAGTGTATATAAAGTAGCTGCAGAGAAATTATGTGATCTTGTAGCTTTATCTTTAATCGAGATAGTGAGAGCATTTGCCCATAGGATCTTCAGATTGCACTAAGAAGCCACGTGTTGCCTCCAGCATCCTCTGGGTTATGCTTTAGCAACAGTGGAGCCGAAATAGGAGTGGCTTGCAGCTGGAGGTTTGTTTCCTCTTCCCACTCACGTGCGTGTCCATCGCGGGTGGGCTCTGTCTCCGATAGATAACCTGTTCTGTCTGTGGCACCCACTCCACTCCCAGCGTCATGACAGAAGAAGAAAAGGAGAGAGCAGAATCCAAGACCATTTTCATAGCCCAGGCTTGGAGGCAGAACATGCCATTTTTATCCATCCGATTGACCAAAACAAAGCAAGCAGCCAGCCAGATGTCAGTGACTAGGAGAATTAGCACAGTGGATGCTCAATAATTATTACTCTTTAACTAGTAAGCCCTGGTCACGAAACGGTTAAGCTAGAGTATCATCCCTGACTAGGACAGAGAAGGCAATCTCTGCGTTTGTCAGATGGCTTTCTTTAAAGTGCATTAAAATGGCTGAGTCAAAAAAAAAATAAAAAATAAAATAAAATAAAACGGCTGAGTCCTACCTTTGGACATTCCAGGGAAGGTAGTCTACGGAGAACCGATTGCGGCGGGACTCGGCACGGATGGCACACACTATTGGAGTAAAGAATGGCACCACGCAGCCCACCACGTCATGGGTCCTCCGCTGAGACCTGATCCTTCAACTCCTGGCTTTCTCATGAACCTGTTGGCTAAGTAATAATTTTTCAGATGAAAAGTATTTGGGTGAAAGATAATCCTTTGTAAGTCTCTTCTTTGCGTCGGGGAGAGCTTACCCTGTAACTACAGCTTCCACAGACCCTTCTGGTCTTCTGCTGTTTGACCCATGGTATCTGGGGAGCTGAAAACACCGGACTTACAATATGTCAGGCTGATACAATCAAGGGACTAGGTTGTTGTACAGACAATAGCCCTTCCTAGTCATTCTGAACATCCTAGCATGCCCCATCCACATGTCCCCAGGTTTAAGTTAATGGGGAGATTTACACACCAAAATAAATAAATTAATTAATTAATTAATAAATTAAATAAAGCAGTTGCTCTTCTCTAACTCCTTCCTCCTTCACACATCTGTATTCCAAACAAAACAAAACAAAAAAGCCTACTTACATTGCTCTTAGTGACCCTGTGGTTAGCTTTGTCAGGTCCAGGCAACTATCAGTTTCTAGCTCATAGTCATGGGCTCCTAACTGTTGGTGCAGAGTCCAACATGTACTCTCTTGTCTCATTCCTTCCTCGAACTAGTCGTCTTTCTCCAGCTAGCCTGGGAAATTGAAAAACAGTAAAAGACAGGCTTGCTGAGGATTCTGCATTGTAATCCTTAGGAGTGTGTTCTTGAAAAGTGCTTCTGATGATTAACACAGAAGAGAGGGGAGACAGGTACCCGGAAGTCCTACTCATGGCCCCTCCCACTGCAAGACTTCCCGCACGGAGGTCAGAGGTTAAGAAACACCAGAGAGTCGCCTCCTGTCTGCTCGCCTCCTCATCATTCTCTTCCTCTCTTTTTCGTTCTCTGCAGTGGTGATCTGACCACAACAGGGAGTGATAACTGCACTTTCAACACCTGCCAGAAAGCTCTGGGGAAAGATGACTTCACCAAGATCCCCAATGGGGTGAACGGTGTAGAGGACCGGATGTCCGTGATATGGGAAAAGGGCGTGGTGAGTTTCCCAGGAATGAGGCTGGTTCACCAAAGAAGCACAGACCTTCATAGAAGCAAGCACTCTGTCTCTCTGTCTCTCTCTGTCTCTGTCTCTCAACTGGGAATCACACTGTCGCTATCAGCTTCATCCCTTCCCACCTCCAGGACATTATCAGCAAACAGTTGATCTCTCCTCATAGTTCAGCTCAGAAGATGGTTACATCATTTGCCATTGGGCGAAGACATTGGGGACCAATTTACATTGGGTCCAGCTAGGGTTATTCTTTATGTGTCATTAATGTCAATATTTGAACTGATGATGAAGAATAAGTGAAGGATATTAAATTTGTTGTCTGAAGTTATATGTAGGGATAAGTCCCGCCCTTTGGGGGGCGTGTTCGCCTCGCGTTGGGCACCAATTGTAGTAATAAGAGCAGCAGGGCTGCGTTCCCAGCACCCCGGCCGAAATAACAACACACAAATTGTATTCATTTAAACACTGCTTGGCCCTTTAGCTCTAGCCCTTACTGGCTAATTCTCACATCCCAATCAACCCATCTCTAATAATCTGTGAGCACCGGTCTTACCGGGAAAGGTTCAGCATGTCTAACCTGGCGGCTTGCTTCATCGCGTGCGTCTGCCCGGGAGAGCGGAGCATGGCATCTCTCTCTCTCTCTGAGGTGTCTGCTCCTGAGAGGAGAGCTGTGGAGTCTGAGCTCACTTCCTCTTCCTCCCAGCGTTCTGTTTTGTTTACTCCTCCCACCTATCTCTAACCAATGAGAGCCAAGCAGTTTCTTTTTATTTAACCAATGACCTTCCTCCATCAGTTATACAGATAATGAAATCTTTGAACAAAATGATTTTTAAAACTAACAATAAATGAAGAATTAATAATTTTTTCCCAAGGATGGAGCAGATCACACAGACAGACGTCATGTGTTAAGCTGTCTATCCATGTGATGTGTGGAGTTGTAAAGATCTATAGGATCTTGGTAGACCCAAGGCTCCCAATATCATACTTTTCAAAGACTCATAGACGATACATTAATCATATTTCACACTTGAGAATTCTCTTCAATGGGTTCCTCCTACATCGACTACCATTTCTATTTTTCATTGACCTAGTTAGGATTTCAACTCCAGTGATGAACACCGTGACCAAAAGCAAGTTGTGGAGGAAAAGGGTCTATTTGGCCGACACTTCCACATCATACACAGTCTATCATTGAAGGAAGGCAGGCAGGGCAGGAACCTGGAGGCAGCAGCTGATGCAGATGCCATGGAGGGGTGCTGCTTACCGGTGTGCTCATGATGGCTTTTTTAAAAAATAGAACCTGGGACCACCAGCCCAGAATGGGACTACCACAATGGATTAGGGCCTACCCATCAATCACTAATTAAGAAAATGCCCTACATCCAGATCTAATGAAGAAATTTTCTTATTTGAGGTTCCCTCCTTCCACATGACTCTAGCTTGTGTCAAGTTGACATAACACTAGTCAACACACTCATCATTCACCGAATCCCATTGATCCGATTTTCAGAATCCATCTCCGTTTCTGCATCCATGGGTACCATCTGATTGAAGGCTCAAATCTTGTCTGGATCATTCTAATAGTCTCAAGCTTGGTTTCCTTATTCTCAGTGACCAGTTGTTCCTGTCTGTTCTGTCCTGGAGTTGCTCCTCAGAAGTGAAGCTCTGCTCATGTGACTTGCTTCTCAAAAACACTTGCGTGTTGTCCATGACTGAATTGCAGTGTTTAAGCCATCAATTTAGTACAAGGGTCTTCAGAACACCTCTCTAGTTCTAACTGCTGTTGCTCTTCCTCCATGACCTTTCCTTTCTCCACTGGGACCTCTAGCATCCCTGATGATGCCCCTCTCTTTCTCCTGGCTTAAATATTCTAGATTATAATCCAACTTTCCTCCATAGACTCGTGTTATTACAGTAAATATCCTTAGAATGGCAGATTTTCATAATCCATTTTAGTTCCCATTACATATATATATATATATATGTAATGGGAACTAAAATGGATTTTATATATATATATATATATATATATATATATATTTAAACATGATCTTTAAAATAATTGAATGTTTCCCAATAACATGCATAAAACTGTATAGTTTTCTGAAACAACGAGATAATTTACCTCTGGAACTATTAGAAATAATTAACTAAATCTTAAGGAAAGTCTTATCATATACATATATAAGCCCTATAAGGGTTCTATATTAAAACTTTTTAAAAATAGACTTTCCAAGATTTCTGGTTCACATAAATTTAAATTGAACAAAATTGTACCTCTTATACTTATCTTTTATCTTCCAAAGGCTTTGCCACCTAATTTAAAGGCATTGTAGCCTATCTTCTTTTGACTATTTAGTATTTTGCCTAATATTTACATGATCATTTCACAGATCTCAGGTCTGCAATAAGTAAGGCAGACCATAAATATCGTAGGTGGTAGTAGAAGACTTCAAAGGGGGAAGGAAAATGCCACGGTCCTTTAGCCATCGTGTGGTGTCATCTTGGGTGATGGGGTAGATGGCAAGAAAGTGGTCGGTTTGTCTTTTAATGGGATAGGATTTTTTGAAAAGTCATCTTCAGGCTTCTGTAGGCCACCGTCTTCATCACTGATACTGCAGACGGTTTACAGTGAGCCTGCAGAGATGTAGCTCCTTGATGTAGGATGGGGGTTACAGTTCTATCTGGATAAACAGGTATGGCTTTCTGTTAGGGTTCATAGATGTAAGCCTTGCCCTTGTATCCCCAGAGGAGGCTTGAGTGTTCAGTCATCACAGCAAATGCCTTTTCTCTTACTGGTTTACAGCACAGTGGTAAAATGGATGAAAACAGGTTTGTGGCCGTTACCAGCACAAATGCAGCCAAAATCTTTAATCTTTATCCAAAAAAAGGAAGGATAGCTGTCGGTTCCGATGCTGACATTGTGATCTGGGACCCAGAAGCCACAAGGTAAGTCTGAGATCTGGCATTGCCTGGTTTTACCCTTGAAGAGAAGCACCAGCTTGCAAAGGAGCTTTGTTGGGCCCTTACCAGCCTTTGCTTATTAGCTGATTTATTCTGCCATGCCCAGGGATTCTGTGCGCAAGATAAAGGTTTGGATGTGCAAACGTTTCTTTGTTTTTCTTGGCATAGAGGATGCAGAAGCTGTGTAGAACTTGCTGGGAACGGATATGTATAGAAAACCAATATGAATTTGCCATCCCAGTGCCTGGCAAATGCCCGAGTTCACACGGAGGGACGGTGCAGAGCCCTGAAGAAAATAATAGGCTTAATTTGAAAAGAGCTGAATTGGAAACTCAAAATAATTACAGCCTTTTAAAAGCTTTTAGATAGAAAGATTCCAGCACAAAAGACATCACTTTTAGTTAGCCAGCCTTTCCAGAGGAGTTCAAACCCAGCCTGTCCTTCCCAGTAAGCTTAAGCCCTTTGTCCTCAATTTTCTACAATTCCCTGTTAATATTGGGTCTGACCAACTCCGCCAATTCAAAGGAGCATTTGATGGAAGTTGAATTTCTGCTAAATACTCCTTGGGGATGTTGTCCCCAGCAGCTCTTGTTGCTCATTTGTGCTTGTGGTAAACACTGGTAAGGAAGGACATGCCACACATTTCAACATTTTGTGTGCTTGTGTGTGCGTCGTGGGAATGTGGTGGGCCTTCGGTCTTCACTCTATGGCATCTATACAAGGTCTAGTATGTTTATTTTTATCGTTGTTAGCAAAAGCACCTACTTTCTGGGAAGTGATGGTATCACAAAGAGACAGTTTCAACAGAAGTGCCCTTGGTCCACCTTCTGGGGAAAAGATGGCCATGTGGAATTTGGAACATGAAGGAAGCTACTGTGGCTGAGAGCCTAGAAACAAACCCCAGATGGTCTTTTTGTGGTTGGCACTACCCTCAGGATACTCATTGTTCCTACCTAGGGACCAGTTCGTGGGATTGGCAGGCCGTGGTCACAGCAGGTAGCCTTTGGCCAACACTCCAGCACACTGTAAAATGCCTGTACGGCAATGAAAGCTGTGTGAGAGAGAACCTGAGCTCAGGAAATATCCTGAGGGAGCAGCCAGTCTCAATCCAGGGCTTTTGTTGCTGTGCTAACAGATTTACAGTTAGATAATCAGTACCTGATAAAGCTAAATGCAGATGGTTTCCTACTGGCCTGGGAGTGGGAGGACATTGTTTGTCTTTTTGGATGCGGGATGACCTAGGCTGGCTGCAGCTTGGAGAACTCCTGATTCTTTAAGTTCCTCTCTGCAGGGGCTGCCACTGCCCGGCAATTTGGTTAACTTAGACCACTGCTCCATGACTGGAAACAGGTAGGTCTTTTGAAGTATCTTGTGGCTTACAAGTATCACAAGGTTTAATTAGAAAGCCCCCAAATTCTCAAAATTCCACTCTTCTAGAAGGAATGTGTGGAAAAGTGGTGACATTTGAAGCATCCTGTTTGTGTCGTCATGGTGAAAATTAGTCACTGTTTGTGCAGGTCAGTGGGGCCAAATATACCCTGACATTGTTTCCCGGGTAAAGCGGAGCAGAATAGGTCTATGGCATGAAGGACCGTGTTTGTGAACCATGTGTGAGGTTTGACCTGCCGGCTGGGAGCCCATAGCTCTCACTTCTAAACCTGGGTGTTTTCTGAAAGCCGAGCACTTTGTATTACATTTCACTTTTCATGTTCTATCTTTTTTTAAACCCAATGTGGGGGGCGGTTTAATTCTGTTCTGTGTTTTTCTGTATCAAAGTGGAAAGAAAATAAAGATACTCTATTGAGCTATGAATCTCTCCAGTCCAGTTCCTAACCCCGTGGAGAGCACTGGGAGGCCACTTCTGTGGTTCTTCTTTTCTTCTCCTCCTCCTCCTTCTTCTTTGGTGGTGAGTGGGGGGTGGGGGGTTGAGACAGGGTTTCTCTGTGAGCCCTGGCTGTCCTGGAACTCACTCTGTAGACCAGACTGGCCTCAAACTCACAGAGATTCACCTGCCTCTGCCTCCCAAGTACAGGGATTAAAACGTGTACCATCCTCTATGGTTCTTCTTTAAAAAAAAAATACTTTTTTTTGTAAGCCATTCCACTTTTTAATTGAAAATAGGTTTCCCCCATATTATATATTCTGATTATTATTTCCTCCCTCCCAGTTCCTCCCAGATCTCCCCATTCTCCACTCACCCAAATCCATACCCTTTCTTTCTTCACTCTCTCATTAGAATACAAACAGGCATCAAAAAAATAATTTAAAAAATAAGATAAAATAAAAACAAACAAACTAGAATAAGATGAAGCAAAGAAACTGCAAGAAGAAAAAGAGGTCTTCCCACCCCAAAATAGCACAAGGAACACATAGATGCAGAGACACATTCACACACACATAAATCCCACAGGAACACATCACTGGGACCCATAATACATGTGCAAAAGTCTTGTAAGGGGAAAACAGGAAAGAAGGGAGAAAGAAAGGAAGAGAGGGAGGGAGGGAGGGAGGGAGGGAAGGGGGAGGGAGGGAGAGAGGGAGAGAGGGAGGGAGGGGAAGAGAAAAAGAAAGAAAATGCTTAGACAATCATTATGAGACAAGGAGCCCCTAAAAATGTCGTTGAGTTTGTTTTGAGTTGCTGCAGCTCTTTTTGAAACCTCTGCCATGTGTCTCCATCTGGATCCAAGTTGAGAGTCCTTGCCTGCCTGAGTTCTGTGGATCACACCGGCTCAGGTACAAAGCTTCATCTTCCTCAGACAACTGGACAAAGAGAAATGACCGGAATGCAAGGTTGTGAATAATTCACTCCCTTTATTTGCCACATTTTGCCACTCGGAGGGTATTTATAGGCTGTGATTATGTCCCCTGAGTCATGCCTCAGGCTATACAAATTTAGATCCCTTTCTCCCAAGCTCCAGTTACTAATCTCTAGAACATTGCTTTGGTCCTCCTGTCCTAGTCACTTGCATGGTGCAGTGATCCAGATGTGTGGGTATATTTTTTAATCGTCTATATATTACTTACTTAACTTCCCTCTGTTCAGTCTAAAAATAACTAATTTAAGGTCAAACTCAAGGCCCCTGTACCTCTTAGACATTTATTCATCATCAGTCAGATAGTTATTCAGTTATTCCTCTCTTTTGTCTGTTCCTGACCAGCTTTTGTATAACAACTGCTCTTTAGATAATAACTAAAGAAAGTTAAATAGTTAAAATCACTTTTGGTGAATGAATATATATGGATTGAGCCTTTAATGTTGGATGATACATCTTTATTAGTATAGCTCATATGCTTTAGCACTGCTAAGAACTCCTATGCTCTCAACCCAGGTCTGTTCATCACGAATACCCCAGTCCAGAAATTATGAAAACCAGTGCAGGCCCGTGTGACTGGTACTAGGTTGAGCTCCACCAAGGGTCACTTGAAGTCTCTGAAGTGCTCAGTAACAGAGAACTTGTTGGGCTTGCTGAAGGTCTTGGCACTGTCCCTGGTACCATTTATACAGCATAAAGAATAGGAAAATTAGGTCATTGTATATCTACTCCTCTTTTGCAAAACAATGTAACTAATAATTATTATGTCTATTATAATATTACCATGAAGCAACATATGTATACATATTTTGTAAGCTAAACTAACCCTTTTACAGTGCTAATTTGATGTCAGAAGCCCCAGGTTCAAGTCCCAGCCATGCATAAATCAGATGTGATGTCACACACCTGTAACTCCAGAACTTTGGAGGTAGAGACATGAGAATCAGAAATTCAAGGTCATCTTGGGATGTATATATATTGAGAGAGAGAGTTTAAAAACAGCCTGCTAAGATACGATCTCACTCCTTTTCTAGCTTGGCTGGTGCTGTACTTTGCCCATTATTTTCTCTTTTAGTTATGTTCAACTAATTTGCCTGTGTTGGCCAAGCAGCCAGGTAAACAAAGGAATTCTGTTGTGCTGACCCCCACACCCTCTTAGGAACACAGATCTCATTTTCCCTGCTTTTGTTGTCCGATTGAAGGTAGAACAGTACTGTCCAGCTAACGAATGGGCCAGATCCTCTTTGGAACTTTTACTCGGTATTTTAAATTCTGTAAGATTTTTCTCTAATATACCGCAATTATATTTTGAACTAACATGAAATTTGTAGTGTGTGGAGAAAAGAGAGATGGGGTTGTTGAGGTAGAGGCTTCAAGGGATGAGGGATTGGATGAAGATTTAAACAACGTGAGGAGTGTTTTCCATAGTTCGCATTTAAAGGGAGGAGCCACGCTGTGTATCTGGGTCGGTCACAACACAGGCTTTCTCTATTCTCGGCCTGCTTAGTGTAAGGAAGGTACTCGGTTGGGCTCTTTGTTTTAACCAGAACATATGCAGATGACCTCATCTGGGACATCTAATGTGCCACCGTATTTTTAGCCTCTCCATGCAGATCCTTAGAGATGGAGAACGCTCACCACGGTCACCGCCTACCTCTCCCCACCCTGCACACTGAACCCTGGTGCATCCGGCACACCTGTGTCCAATGCTGCACCGTCGTCCTCCACCACTTTTTGAACCTCTGTTATACTCTTGAGGCATTGGTACATTTTTAAAAAGGAATAAGGGGTCACAAGGGTGGTGGAGAGGGCCCCTTGAGCCCCCAACTCTTCTCTGCTATCATTGCCTGACAAAATAGCATGACTGCACAGTTAATGGACTGACGTTGCTATGTTACGATTAGTTAGAGCCTATTCTTCATTCAGGTTGGCTTAGCTATTACCCAGCATTCATTTCTGCTCCAGGATATCCCCCATATGTAAAATCACCATATTGCATTTAGTCCATGTGCGTCCTGAGACTGGTCTGAGATGTGACACTTTTTCTCTTTATTTTAAACGGCTTTGTCATTTTTGAGGAATGATACTCGAGTATTTTGGAGAACGTCTCCCTACAGCTCAACACAGAGTAGATTCGCATTGAACGCTGATGAGCAAAGCGGAAGGCAGCCG